TGGAGAGATGTCTCACTTGTTCTCCTAGAGGTCCTGAGTTCAATTCCCAGCATCCACGTGGTGGCTCCCAACCATCTCTAGTGGGATCTTTATGTCATCTGGCATAAAGTCAGGCATGCCGATAGAGTACTCATGCATAAAACAAATAAATAAATCTTAAAAAAAAAAAGCATCCTTCCCCATGACTGGTCCTATGCCATAGGTGTTAAACTAAACTCACTACATTCAAGGGCTCACTGAATCCTTCCAACAGCCCTTTGGGGCATGAACTAACTAATGCCTGTCCTATTTGGAACTGAAGCAGTTGAAGCTCACCTGCTCCGTTAGCCAGGTGAGGTGGCCAAGCCTGTAATTCTAGCACTTGGAAAGTGGATGCAGCAGGATCCCAAGATGGAGGGCCAGCCAGGATTCCACTGTGAGATGCTTTCAAATTAATATGTACACATGTGTCTCTTGTAGTCTTTCAATGTGGTTGTGATGAATACTCTGACCAAAGCAACACAAGGGAAAAGGGGATTGATTTCAGCTCACGGCTTTGGGTTATAGTCCATCGTGGCGGGGAAGTCACAGTGACAGGACTTCAGTTGGCCACACCACATCCTCAGCCAGGAAGAAGACAGCTTGATTGCATACACTGAGCATGCTAGTACTAAGCCAGATTTCTCCACTTTTATACAGTAACAGGACACGGCCCTGTCATCAGGATGAAATGATCTCACCCGTCATCAGGATGGCTTGTCTCATCTCAGTTACCATAATCAAGACCATTCCCCACAGGCATGCCCAGAGGGCCAGCTCCCAGGTCATTCCACAATGTCGAGTTGACAATTACACTAAGTGCTGCACTCACTATTTATAATTACCCCAGGGAAAGCACAGGGGATTGTGTTGGGTGAAGTGGATCAGGTGCAGAACACCAAATGCGAGGTGCCCTAAAATAAGCAGAAGCTAAAAATGTCAATGACTTAGAATCAGGGAGCAAGATGGTGATTACTTGAGGCTGGGAATAAGAGAGGGAAGATGGGGAAAGGATGGCTAATGGCACAGGGGTGCTGTGGGACTTTAGGGGCTCCACAGCACTGAAGGCTGTAGCTGATTGACAACCACTAACCGAATATTTGCAAACAGCTAATAGAGGAGAGCTGGAATGTTCCCACTATGAAAACTAAGCAGCATCTGGGGTGATGGTCGTACCACTTACCCTGGATGGTCATTACCTATTCATACTTGTGCAGAGATACCACACTGCACCCTAAAAACATGTGCAATCATTTTGCCAATTAAAAATAAAAGTAAATGCTATTTTGAAACCCATCCGAGAGACGGAGAGACAGCTCAGCAGGTTCAGTCGCTCACTGTATAAGCGTGAGGGCCCAAGTTAAAACCCTGGAATCCACATAAGAAGCCAGGGTAGTCTCCTGCCTGTGACACCAGCACCACCATCGTGGTGGAGGCAGGGGGACTACTGGGGTTTCCTGGTCACCAGCCTAGCTCCAGGATCAGTGAGAGAATCTATGCCAGGGAAATAAGATGCAAATTGATAGAGAGCAGGACACATGGCATCCTCCCTTGGCCTCTGCACACACGTACACACACGCATACACTGCATACACATATGCACACAACACACACACCACCCCAAAAAGTAACAAAGCAAAGATTGCACTTGAATCTATCCCTTCCTCTGTCTTCTCATAGCACACTTCTGTTCCTCTGCCCGACCCTCATGAGCCATGCAGAGTCCTCTGTAAGCAATCCTCTCATTGGCCTGAACTCCCCTACAGAGAACATATGGCCCTTGAAAATGGGGGCAAACACCGCCCCCATGCAACAGTGAGGAAGTTGTGTCTGGCCGAGGACACTTTACATTGTGTAAGCTGCCTCTGCCTCCTTCCCTGGTGCTGACAATCACCCCCTGCGCATCATTTCTCTTTGATGTCAGCTAAGGGAGCTTTCCACCCTGTGAAGCAGTGAGCAAAAGCCCCCCCTTCCCCGAACGGATTTAAGGCCAAAAGCTGTTCTTCCCCGCAAATAGTTCTCATCCTGCTTACAGCCTAGTAATCAGCAATCAGCAATAATGAGGAGGAGGATGGAGGAAACATACAGGGAATTAAATGAGAATCTGCGAAATAAAATTAAGCATTTTTAAATGGGCCCCCGCGGTATCTGGGGAACACCTCATTCAGTGTTCCCGTCTGAAGTTCCCGGAATAGACTGGGATGTCTGGCATCAGGTCTAGACTCTCCCCGCACCAACCCTGTTCACCTGTCTCTTGGGCCCTTCCAGAAGGCAGAGCATCTGGGATTCGGGCTGCCTTGGCCGGAGAAGGCTGAAAACTCAGTAGTCTCCTCAAGTTTTCCAGCTCCAGCCTGTCTGTGGAACTCACTAGCTTAGAGAGTCACCCACAAACGCTCAGTGAGATGTTCGCAGATTCCCGAAACATCTCTAGAAGGCACAGCCCCTGAAGGCCCCCCTCACCAATCCAGGCTCACTTCAGGAAGCAAGGGTCCTGGCCTCTGCCATTCAAGGTCTGCTCCCCCACAGCAAGCCACCCGCGGACTGGGCTCTGCATGTAAGCAGGCCAGTTCATCTTCAGCTCCGCCCCCACTTCCTCCTGGTGAGCTCCTGCTAGCCATACCTGTCACCTCCTCCGAGAAGGCCCTCCTCCCCGTTTCTCTAGGTAACCCCCCCAACAATTTTCGCAATTGTGGGGAGCGTGTTTGTGTGTGTGCAATCCTTCCCACCTATCTGAACCTTCCGTATGCCAATGCTTGATGCTTGGTGCAGCCCGTCCCCAACACTCATGTCTGAAATAGGTTTTCAGTCAAGGCCAGCCGGAGACACAGACACAGTGACAATTATCACCTGGCTGCCACCTGAGATACTCTGACTCCAGAGGGAGTTCCAGGGCAGCCAGAGCCACACAGAGAAACCCTGTCTCAGAGAACCAAAAAAAAAAAAAAAATTGCTTTTTCCCAGTGCTTTGTCACAGCAAAAACTAACACAATACTTGAGATTTCCATCTGCAATTAAACAATTCCAGGGAATGGTGGTGTGTTCTTTGTGATCCCAGAACTCGGAGGCTGAGGCAAGAGAATTGAGTTCGGGGCCAGTGTGGTCTACTCAGCAAGACACCAGGAAGAAAAGAGGGTCAAATATCACTTTCTCCTGAAAGAGGTTTCCCAATGCCCTCTAGTCTGAATTAGGCACCCCTCCCTGAAAACCCAGAATCTTCTCTCCCTGGCACTCTGAGCTATGGTTGGCCTTTTCTCGTAAGAGGCCATGAGTACAAAAGGCCCTAGTGTCTTATTCACACTGTATCCCCAAGTGACCACATATAGGTTGCTTATTAAGAATTTGAAGAACAAATTAAATTTCAGACCCAAAATGTAAATAGAAAACATGGCAGTAGTTCACTGTGCTGCCCGACAATACTCAGACAGGCAGGTGGTTAAAATGCAGACACCCATGCACCCCTTCCTATGCGGCTCGTTGCTGTCAGATCCTACCTCTGGTAAAGATGGGTCAGAGACAGGAGGGTGGCCATATGCATCAGGGCTAATCAAAGGACTGTGGTTGATAAGGCCAACACAGGTCACATGGTACAGCAGGTATCTACACGTAACAACTTAGACGTCTAAGCAGCTCACAGATGTGAGTATGTCTACAAACTGAAAAGGAAGCCTTGGCCAGACCCCAGACCCTGAGTGCTACCTGCTCTGCCATCGATGATCACGGACAAATCCCTCTGAGG